GTTAAGTACTGTTAAGCATTGTTTATAAATTATTCTCAGAATTTTGCAGAGTATTGTTGTAAAATTAGTGAAATGAAAAAAAACCCAGGAAGGTTAAGTTACAAGTTGAGGTAGGAGTTTTCAGTCTTTCCTCAAGCCCAGTTTCATTCCCTCTGCCTTAATCCTCTTCTCCTTCATCTCTAGAGCCCACCACGGTATCTCCTGAAAATCCATTGGAGATCGGAAGATAACCTCTAGAAGCTGTGCTGTAGACAATAATGGTATGGAAAATAAATCTTAACAGCCTTGTTCCATATATCTAAATCCAACACCTCAACTCTGTGGGATCCAGAGAGGTCTGTTTATTTGTTTGGTTTTTAATTTGTGCCTGTACTGGAGCTGGAATTCAAGGCTTTGTGCTCTTGCTGGCTTATTCCACACAAGTGTGGTGCTCTATCAGTTGAGCCATTCCTTCACTTCTGACTTTTTGCTGGTTAACTGGTGGTAGCAGTCTCTCAGATTTGTCTGCTCTGGCTGGCTTCAAACTGGGATCCTTATGTCTCAGCCTCCTGATTAGCTAGTGTTAGGGGGTGAGCCATCACTACCCAGCTGAGTTGTTCACTCTGTTTTAATAACACCTCTCATCTTTGTCTATGTTGTGTCCATATCTGGCACGTGTGTAAAGATAGAGCAAAAGACAAGACACAGACAATTTCAGGACCAAATTTCACGATGGACTTTGTTTCTCACACCATTCTCCTAATTTCCTTGTGCTTTTTAATGAAGTAGATAATGTCCTTTAGAGTGACCCTTGGGTGCTTCTACCAAGAGCAGCAAAGTTCTGGACCTTGATCTCTTCTATTTGTTTCTTTCTTCAACTAAAACTTGTGGAGTATTTCCTATGAGTCAGTGGACTCTTTTGTGCCTCATGCTGGGATGATTTGCTTTAAGAAATCCTTTGGACATTTTCCAGTAAGCTCTCTCTCTCTCTGTATATATATATATATATATATATATATATAT